CCCCCCGCCCCGCCGTGTCCGCAGCCCCAGCGCGCCCTCTGGCGGTGGCGGTGCCGCACTGCAGCCCGGGGCGCTCCCGCTCGCGTTCCCCGCAGAGATGCCCGCGGATCCCCGGCCAGCCCCGTGCTCAGAGCGGCGCTCCCGCTTTCTGCTCGCTCGGCCGGCTGCAGTCAGCACCGCAATGGCGATAAAGCCGCTCGCAGGGAGCCCACGCGTGGTTCCTGACACCAGAACCTGCAAGACTCACTCCAAGTGTGCAGGAGAGTTCAGCCCCTGGACCGAAGTGCCACCTCTCCCTGCTGTGACCTGGGCTCTCTCACTGCTGTTTCCACGCTCAGGCAGCCTGGGACATGGCCAGCAAGGCATGCACTGGCCCAGGAACAATTGGGTTTGGGTGCTGTGCCCTTCCTGCCCGGTAAGAGGAATGGAGATGTAAAAGAGTGTTGCTTACCCCACTAGAAAGTTACAGGGCTGTCTGGACAAAGGTTTCCAGACCCCATGACTATCCATGTCACACACAGTGCAGAGATTCTCTGTCCCATCCTTGCCAGATGCTCCAGCATCGGCCTCTTCAGTTTTCCCAAGCTCCTGGCTGGAATTGGGCAAGGCAGGTGTGGTAGACAACTACAGACTAGTAATTTGCCAAAAATATTCCTGGGCTTTGGGGTTCCTTCCCATGGAAGTGTGACCCAAGACCACCCACCCCCAGGTACCATCCAGCCCCAACACACCACTTCAGAAATCTGCAATACTTTAATCAAATTCTTCTTAAGGCCATTGTTACTTTCATGTTTGCACACATCCCTCCTCAAAAGCACAAATATCTTTGTTAACAGAAGGACCTAAGGGTCAAGCCTCCCCCTTCCTGTGGTCAGACAGTGTGACCAGAGCCACTGATGGCCTCCCAGTGCCAATGGCCATGGCCAGAAGCTCTGGCTGAGCAGGGACAACTGCCAGGAGCTGAGTGACAGCTCAGATGTGCCACCGAGCTCCTGCCAAGGCTCACCTTGTCACCCCCAGCCAGGAGAGATTAGGTAACAGGGCTGTGAGCTGGAATCGCTGTGGAGCACAAGGTCATGGCACAGAACTGGGGCTTTAGAAGTCACCAATACTCTCCAACACATGCAAAGGCTGGAGCAACCCCAGGCAGGCTCCAGCTACTGTGGGAAGAGACATCACTGAAGTGACAGCACCTAGAAATGATTTGCAGTGTAGTCCAGTTACATCAAGTGGCAATAAAACTGTGAGTGGCTCCAGGACAGCGTGCCCCATTTGGTGAGATGAACAGTGGCTTTTAAAAAGATCACTAAATCCCATCAGTGCTACCTATACAAACCTCATTTATTTTAAAGGCTCCCATTAAAGTGCCTTTTATCCCTAGCAATAGGCAGTTTTAAATTGCAAATAACTTCTCGGATCAGTCAGCAACCATCTTCATTCCACCGGAGAGAAGGGCCGTGGCTCAGGCAGGCCCTTGGGGACAAGGGTTGAGGTTTCTGGATGAGCAGGAATGCTGAGCAGCAGGATTATCCCATGGCTGTGCAGGCTCTCTGCCGAGCTGTCCAGGGTTTCACCTTCCAGAGAGCTCTGGGGATCCGAAGCAGGTGTCACCTGCAGCGTGGCTGTGTCCCAGTGGGAAGCGTGTCCCAGTGGGAAGCGTGTCCCAGTGGGAAATGAGTCCCAGTGGGAAATGAGTCCCAGTGGGCAGCGTGTCCCAGTGCAGGGCAAGGCTCAGGCCATGACACCATCCTAGCTCAGGGTGTCGGTGTCATGCAGGAGCGGCGTGGTCTCGGAGGAGAGAGGCTTGCTCTGCGTGCCGAGGGGCCGGGGGCTCTTCTCCGTGGTGCTTCTCTGCAGGGGAGGGACAGAGGTCACAGCCTGGCCACACCAGCAGTGCCACCACGTTCCCACCCTGGGCATGCCCACCCCAAGCCTCTGTCAGCTGCCAAGGGCCCTTTTCTTAACTGGAATATTTTTGTACCTCCTTGTTGTACCTCTCGCCCCACCAAAAGGAGGTAATTTCCATTCCTGCCCACCTGCACCCGTGACACCACCCGAACAGCCAGCCTGAGGAGCGGTGTGGAGGAGCTGTGGGACAGTGCACAGCATCCCAGATGGAAGGGAAAGGGACAGGAGGGCTTGGAGACCCCCAGGCACCAGCTGCAGCACACACAGGCAGCACTCATTCCTGGGATAACGCTAGGTGCAGCCTCTGGGGAAGGGTGGAAGTTGGTTCCCCCTGGCTCCAATACGGCTCCTCCTCGCCTGAACTCTTACACTGACACCTACAAAACACGTTCACCACCCTCAAAGTTGAGCAGGAGCCAGATATGCCTTCAAACAGACCACGTGGGCCCTGACCCTAATTGATGCAAGAACCTCAGGAGGAAGCAGCAGGCGACAGGAGTGGGTCCCTTCCTGCTGCTGGGGACAGAGACCCCAACCTGTCCCTCACCCAGAGCCTTCTGCTCGCTGGGGACGGGGATGGGGGTGTGGTGGAGGAACAGTGAGGCTTGTCTAAGCCTTGGATTGCTGCCCATTGCTGCTCCAGTGTGGGCACCAGTGACACCAACGGGAACACCTGGAGACTCTTTGGGCATGGTGGTATTTGGGTGAAGTTTGGACTTGAAGATCTTGGAGGAATTTTCAGCCTTAATGTGTTTATGATTCTAAAAGTGTCTACAGGCCTCAGGTGAGAAGATAACGTCAGGACAAAAAGGATGGTTAATATTCAAAGGATACCTCCTCCAAGTTCAAGAACAGTCCACCCTAACAAGCATCCCAAGCCAGGAAAAAACTGCCAGCAGGGCAACACGGATGAACCAGGAGCTCCAAACACAAATGCAGAAAGGAGATGTATGGAAGGTGGGAGCAGGGACAGGTAACCTGGCAGGAACACAGGGAAACTCTCCCAGCATGCAGGGATGAAGACAGGAAAGCCAAAACCCAGCTGGAACTGCATCCAGCCAAGGATGTCAGAGACAAGAAAGGCTTCTCGAAGTACCCAGGTGACAAAAGGAAGAAGAGGGAACCATGAGGGCCTGGGGCTGAATGAGGCAGGGGATCCCAGAAACCAGGGAAAATCCAGAGCAAGGAAGATGCACCCTTGGTGGAAGAGGATGAGGTCAGAGAATACTTAAGGAACCTAGACATGCACAAATCCACAGACCAAGATGGGATGAGTGGGCTCATGTCACAGCAAGGCCATTCCCTGTTGCCTTTGACCAGTCCTGGCCCAAAGACTGAAGGAAAGCAAATGTTACTTTGATCTTGAAAAAAGATCAAGGAGGAAGATCTCAGGAGCTACAGACCAGTCAGTCTCCCTTCATCCTGGAGAAAGTGATGCAGCAGCTAATTCTAGGAACCACTTCCAGGCACATGAAGGACAGTTAAATCATCAAGTGCAGACACTGGACTTCATCAAGGGGAAACTGTGCTTGATCATCAATGATGAAATGACTGGCTTGGTAGATTAGGGGAGAACAGTGCATGTTGTCCACCTGGACTCCAGGCTTTTGATGCCATCTCCCATGAAAACCTTCTAGGGAAGCTGATGAAGTAGGGACTGGATGAGCAGGCAGTGAGGGGGACTGAAAACTGGCTGAACAGCCAGGCCCAGAGTTGGGCTGGAGGCCAGTAACCATCAGTGTACACCAGGGGTCAATATGGGTCCAGGCCTGTTAAATATCTTTATTAATGAGCTGCAAAAACTGGGGGAGTGGCTGGTACACCAGAGGGACCTCAGCAGGCTGAGGAAGGGACTGGAAGGACCTCATGAGGTTCAACAAGAGGATGTGCAAAGTCTTTCACTCAGGATGAACAACCCCACACAGCAGTACACACTAAAGGTCACCCAGCTCTGCAGCAGATTGGCAGAAAGGGACTCCAGGGGCTTGGGGACACCGAGCTGCAGGTGAGCCAGCAGTGTGGCCAGGTAACAAAGGCAGCCAGCTGATTGCTGGGCTGCACTGGGAGTGTTGCCAGCAGGTCCTGGAGTGATCCTTCCCCTCTGCTCAGCACTGGAGAGGCCATACACGGAGTACTGCGCTCAGTTCTGCGCCTCCCAGGACAAGAGAGATGCAGCTACTGGGAGGAGTCCAGCAAAGAACCACCAAAGTGATTTTGGGGCTGGATTGTCTCTTATGTGAGCAGAGGCTGAGAGAACTGGGACAGTTCAGCCTCGAGAAGAGATGGCTCAGGGGGATCTCACCACTGAAAACAAGGCTCTGAAGGAAGGGTGTAACTACAGAGCCAGGCTCTTCTTGGTGGTGTCCAGGGACAGGACAAGAGCAAAGGGACACTTGAACACAGGGGATTCCACCTGGACATTAAGTTTTTTTTTTTTCCTTTTTCTTTTTTTTTTTCCTGTGAGAACTATAAAAACAGGAACAGGTTGCCCTGGGGAATCTCCATTCCTGAAGACATTAAGAGACATCTGGACATGGTGCTGAGCTAGGTGACTCTGCCTGAGCAGAGGGATTGGCATAGATGAGCTCCGGAGGTGCCTTCAACCTCAACGACTCAGTGATTTTGATTTTGTGCTCCTGTAATACAAACCCAGATATTTTATACATCAGAAATTCCCTGCTGAAAGCCTCTTTGCTGAGGCTCCCTGCATGCAGGGGAGGGGTGACACCCACCAGTGGACTGATCTCCGTTACCCCATAAGTTTTTACCATTCAAAAAACTTACCTCTGGAACTCAAACACTCCGAGATGGGGGGAAAAACAGGCAAGAAAAGTATTTCCTCACACCAATCCTACTTTTCCCCAGATCCCTGCTGACATTATTACCTACTGATCAGGTACACCAGGAGAAACAATAAGAGCATGTGCTTGCAACCTGGTTAAGTGCATTAAGACACCTAAATTGCCCCAAATAAAGCCATGGGACGACACCGTTGCAGCAAAGCTTGCCAGGAGGGCATGTCTGGGAGATGTGGACAGCAAACATTTAATTTGATTGGTTTTAAGTGAAGTTTAATCAAATCAGGATGAGAGAAAAACGTGTTACCTTGACTGGGTACCCACCTACAGTCTGGCTTCCCGCATCACCGTGCCCTTAATCGGAGGCAGATTTTTGGCAGAGATGGCCTGGTTTGCCTTATAACTGTCTGAGCTCTTTTTATTGCTACTCCAAAATAAAGAGCATTTTTCCTAGAAGACAATCAGTCTAGTTTATGGTGCACTTGGACATGAATTTCACCAGGGCTCCAATTTTCGGAGGAGATTCGAAAAAAAAAAATCACTGTTTAACTAGAATCTAGTTATAAATGAAGATTTTGAAATTTAGATTAAACTAAGTCCTATTTAAGATTTTGTTCAGTGTCAAGCCAGTTTGAAAATGGTCTGTTTGCCTTTTGAAAGGGCCACCACACAGGCTTTAGGCCACAATTGTAGAGAGCTACAAGGGTATTTCACACCTGTACAGATGATGCATTTTTTAGAGCTGTGAGTCCAACAGATGCATTTCAAACTGGCTGCACTATAAACTAGACTAAGATTGAAGTGTTTCACACTACCTCATCTGCACCAGCTACAGAGCACACTGCTCCCTCCAGAAGCACACCAGACATCTGAGGAAAGGAGCTGGGTTCAGGGAGACCTTCACGCTGGCAGACACGTGAAGGTGTGGACAATGTCCCTGCTCAGGGTCCCCTCTGACATCGCCTGTGACTTCAGGAGGCAGAACTGTGCACGATTAAGCAATCAGGGCTTGATCAGCAACACTTCAATCAAATGAGGAACACACCTTGGCTGCAAATCGCTGTCTTCCAGTTTACAACCTCTTATTTACTCATTAGGTGGAGACGTTCATGTGTTGTTGTATAGCTTTCTTAGAGATTTGTAAGGTCATTGAGGCATTTTAATCACTTTCCAGGTAGTCAGGCACTTCCTGCCCTTGGTTTTTAGTCCTAACACTTCATGACTCTTTTGGCTGAGCACAGAAGTACAGCTGGCTTATGCCTGGGTTTGGGATATTCCACAAGCAGATACTCAGTTGGCTTGAAAGAGTTTAAAATCCAGCTTTTTTTCCCTGATCCTTTCTAGCATGGTTAAATCTCTTTGATACCAGGAATTAAGACTTGCACAAAGCAGGGTGAGGAAATGCCAGCTCAGGGCTGCATAAGGGGTTAGAAATAGCTGCCCAGCCATTTTTCAGAGCCCCTGGGGTCATGTAGCAGAGTGCAGCCTGTCTGCCAGCAACCACTCACATGTGCTGAAGGGAGCAGTTCACCCCAGGACCATCCTGGGAGCACAGGGAGGGTTTGGTGGTAAGCTCTGAGCTCCATGCTGGGCCCTAGCATCACTCCCACCCTGCAGGGAAGTGCATGGAGGAACAAGGGGATTTGGGATCATGTGTTTAAGTCACTTAAGTAATTGCAGACTTGATTAAAATCCAATTACGTGGTACTCTGAGAACCCTGGCACCGTTTAAGGTGGGTGATTCAGGAAGGGCAGGAACCTGCTGAGCAAAGGCAGCCCCTCACACAGGCTTCCCCTCAGTCTGCTCTCATCCCAAGCAATGCCTTTTATCCCCACCAGCAGCCTGTTCACCTCTGCAGCTTTAGAGCCAGCCTAAGCCACCTGACTGCACTGCAAAGCTAAACCAGCCTCCTTTGATCCAGGGTTAGGGTAGGAAGTTAGATCTCTACTTCCAGAACTAAAGCTTGTAGAGAGTTTAGTGTTTACCAGATCACCGTGGAGCCAGAGCCACAGATCTCCACTGAGTGTTTTGGCTGGTTTATATTCAGTCCTGACAGCTCAGCTCAGCCTCACCCCACTGCCTGCCCCACAACCCTGCTACCAACTCCCAGCAGCCTTCAAAGGTCTTCACTTCTCAGTAAACCCAGATCCACAAAGGCTCTGAGGGTTTCACTTCCAGAGCCCTCTGGAGCAGTTTGCACAGAAATCAAGTGTGTTTGAAGGAAACAGAATCTGTGCTGGGCTGAGGCAGCCACAGTGGCTGTGTCCCTGCTGCAAGAACACAGCAACTGCATTCCACTTAACAGGCTGTGTTCAGATAGCTCCATCCTCTGGAGAAGGCTCTGTGCTGACTGCAAAAATGCTGGGAGCCTGCAGAGATGCAGATCTGTGCAATGGCACAGGAGCTGCTGCTGCCTTCTATGAAGGCTGGGTTGATAAACTAGGATTGGTTCTTCATTAGCTGGTAAGCTGAGAAATACCTCCTCCTCCTCCAGGAAGCCACTTTCATCACTGCTGTGCACCAAAAAAGCCAGGAATGCTTCATGTTACCTCTTTGCAGCCCAATTTCTAGATGGCTAAGGAAGTCCTGCTGCTACCTGCTGGCACCTGGCACCATTAGGAGATTGTTGGTGGCATCAGCCAATGTTTCCTCAGACATGTTAGATTGTCAGCCCAAACTACATCTGATTGAGTCTGATTTGACTGACAGCGCTTCCCACCAGGCATCTGCGGATTCTTACCTTACTCATTGCCATGAGCACAGCTGCTGCAGTAATGAGTGGGACACTCAGCCCAAGGAAGATGTACTGCAGGTAGTCCAGCACCGACGGGAGCAGCACCAGGTTGGTGTAAAACTGCTTCAGGACTGAGCCTTCGATGGATCCGCTCTGCTCGAAAAAGCAGAGTTGTCAGTGGCATTTCCCTCCCGTCCAGGGCTGAGACAGACCAGCTGAATGATTTCTTTCCCACCACCTCCCAGTGTAAATTAGGGAATTTATGGAAGATTCAGTCAGGCTAAAAGCTTTTACTAAACAGTGTGAGGCAGCTGGACATGCACCCAACAGCTGGAGACTGCAGTCCTGGGCCCACATGAGGACAGGGATGCTGGCAGCTCTGCCCAGAGCCCTATTTAACCCCACATCTAGGGCAGAGCCAGAGATTTACCAAGTATAGTGCAGGGTTTGTTCAGCTCAGAGGGATTAATGGCATAGCCAAGTATTGAAAAGCCCTCTGTTGGTGCTTAATTAGTCTGGCTGGCTTAAAGCTTTATCCCAAGTGGAGTTTCCCCAGCAGTGGGTGATGGGGAAGCAGGAGAGGCTCTGCAGAATCAGGCTGAGGAAGGCAGCTCACCTCTGCAAACCACAGCAGCGGCAGGACCACTGGCTTAATCTTCCCTGTTTGACTGGGGAGAAGAAAATTAAAATAGAAGCACACACTTAGGTTTATGGTTGATCAGGTCACAATTAGCACCATAATTCTTCCTAAGGGGACATGTCTGACAGACTGACAGCTGCCAGGAAAGCAGCATAAGGAGGTGGCAATCTCTGCTGCTCCAGTGAGCTGCTCCCACCTTGGAGGACCAGGTGCTTTTCATGCAAGAGCAGAGCTCGTGCTGCCATGGGGGCTTAACTGCCCGAGGACAGCAGTAAGTGCCATCCCTAACCTGTGCTCCAGGGATGGGAAATTCAGTGAACCAGAATGCTAAAGCTCATGTTTCATGCACCTGGACAGCACCCTGGGGGCTGTCTGCAGACATCTGCCCCTCAGCCCAAGCAGCAAGAGCACACTCCCACCCTTGCTGGTATTTAGAGATCTCCTGTTTGCTTCCATGGAGCTGGAAGTGTCTTTTGGACACAGGCTGCACTCTCTACCCCGCAGGCAGAGTGGATTTTGCCTCTCCATGTTGCAGGTAACTCCTGAGAGGCAGCACAGTGTAGGTGAGCAGCTCCTCAGGGACACTGCCTGAGCTGAGCAAACAGGCAGCCACTCTAAAGGATGGAACTCGTGGTCACTGGAATGGCTGATGTTTCAAACAGCTGGCTCCAGCAATAGGACAACTGGTCATGGTAAAGCTGCTTTGTCTTTGGGGAGAGTAAACTCTGCAGCAACCTCAGCATCAGCAGAGCTCCCTGCTCAGGGAAGGCAGATGGACATCTCTAGGAGTCCTAGTCCATTTCTATAACTTACATTATATGAGACACCTCCTTTATGTACAGGTTCAGCTGGAGCTTGATGGAGCAATTCATGGGGATGCCTGTCATCTGCAGAGGAAGGGAACAACCAGTTCATCAGTAACTTCCAAGTGACTCCATGGGGACCAACAGACTCTGCCAGGCAACATTCCAAGACCACCAAAACATCACACTTCAAAGCTGGTCTTGTTGACACCCATTAAGACATTGGTTTCTCATGACTCTGCAGTTTTGCCACACATTTTTACAAGCAGAGAATTTTTGTTGGACCATCCCCTGTTTGTAGTCAGCAGCCTGCAGCTAGATAAGAGTATAGTTAACTGTACTGTTATCAGTAGATGTTTGATACTGTAATAAACTTAATTAGATTTTCATAACTGCGATAAGAAAAGCAGTCATAACCCAATGTCTAGATAAGACACAGTTTACCTTACCTCAAGAGAGAAATAGGTTTTTTGCTTGAGCAAACATCACTGAACATTTGGAAAAACTGACCATGCACAACACGCAAGCTGCAGGTGGAAAATCCCAAAGTCCCTTTCCCAACAGCAGTTGGGACAATGATAACTCAGCACACCCCAAATCACCCCCTCTGGAGTGGTGACTTCACCCCCACGCTGCAGGTACATGAGGGGTATAACACAGCAGCAGCCCAGTGCCAAAGCAGTCAGTTCCAGATGGGCAGGTTGACAGAGTGGAAGAAGCCAGCCCAAAAATGGAGGTGCCAGCTTGAACCACAGCGTGGTCTTCAGACTTTGCCAGGCAGTTCTCATGGCAATGTGCATTTGCAGATTTGGGGCATAGCTGGGCTGCTGCCAGATACACCTCCTGGTGTTATAGGCCTGAGTCAGTGGAAAGAACTTCACCATGCTTATCAAAACAATTATGTTTATAATTAGTTCTGCAATTCTCTAGAAGCCAGGCTAATTATTCAATTAGTTTATGGCTTTGATAGTTTTATCTGCACATGTCCTCGCCAGTCTTTGCACTATGGAACCTGCTCGAATCAGTGCCACGAGAGCAGAGCAGTGCCACCACTCAGCTGATGGCAGGGTCCCCCCATCCTGGGCTGGTCCCTGGGGCGAGGGGAGGCCCTGGTGGGCTCACTCACAGGGTGCACATCGAGGAAAAGCCCGTGCTGCTCCTTGCTGGGGTGCAGGCCTTCCACTGCGCTCACCAGGGACGGGTCAGCGTTGTAGAAGTGAGGGTGGGAAATGAACATCGGTGCATCTGCATGAGATGAAAGACATCTTAAGCTCCTCCACCCATATACCCAAGAGCTTTTTCTGAGGCTTTTAAGCCCTTGTGGTACTTGTTCTGAACAGCTTTTCTGTTTTCTCCTCCCAACCAGCCGCCTCCTTCCCTTCCCTCGCTGCAGGGTTGTTCCAGTGACTGGGGAGGGTTAAGAACACCCAGTCTCTCCCAGCACACCATGGTGTGGCAGCTCCCTGCTCCCAGACATGAGCTGGGACACCCAGTCCGGACTGTCACTCCTATGTGATGCACACTGGGTGTCCAGAGCAGCTTTAACATTCAACATTTAACTTGGCAGCTGTGGGGGCTGCCTGTCCCCTTCTCCCACCGCCAGCCCCGGGCTTGTAATGATCCCACTGCATCCCTGGGCATTCCCACAAATGCCAGCCTCTCATAGGGCTGGGCACTGAAGGAACTTCAGGCACAAGGGTTTTCCCTCATTGCAGACAGAGCCCACCAGTACTTTTCAGCATCCCTGCAGGCACTAGAGCTGGTTTTCTGCACAGCCAAGCTTGTACTGCATCTCAGATTTAATACTGGTCCATTAAGGAGAGCCAGAGGGGAAAGGACTTACTGAGCCTACAGGAGCTGACGTTCTGGATGCCAGACTGCATGCAGGGGCAGAAGCCCTCGTTGGGTGGATAGTCTGTGCCGTTGGCAAAGAGGGTTTTCGGCGCCACAAAGCGATAGGTGGGCACACCCTTGAACTCCCCAGACTGCTCGTACACCAGTGTCATGGATCTGGAAGGGTTTTGGTGGAGAAGGATCAGGATTAGCCAACAGGTTCCCAGCCCAGAAGTGGGTTCTTATCTTGGTTGGATAAGATGAAGTTGCAATGTAACTTAGACTTTGAGATGAAGATAAACCCTCAGAGGAGTGCTTCAGGGAATGGGGAGTGAGTATTTAGGCCTTTTGCTTTCCATGTTTTAAGTACATCTAAAGGGTAGGTCAGGACTAGTTAGGGAGAGAAACCACAGGCTTATAGGTCTGTTTGCTATATCCAGTTGAGATTTGTTTAAAGGCATGTAGTAATCCCCAGGGCTGCTCTCCAAGAGATAATACCCACTTTATGCAAGCCTTGGCTCCGAGGTGCTCCGTTACAGGGCATGGACTGGATAAATTCACAAACCAACTCCAGCAACAGACTGCCAAGGCAGTGGAAAATTTCCCTATGTGACACAGCAACATTTTTTTCTTGCTACCAGAGGTTATTGATGTTGGGCTGCAATATTGCTGGCCAGGTTTGATGCAAGTTTCCAGGACAAAAATTTTCTCCCTTCACACTTGAGTGAGGTTTGCAGGGATCGGAGAATCACAGAATGAGTAAGAGGGTCACAGTGGGCTGCCAGGACAGCCTGGGCAGGCCAAGGGGATGCTCATTCCTACAGAGGCCTTCTGATGCTGGCACCAAGGATGGGGGATTCAGGGCATGTTCAGCAGTTCCAAACGTGCCCCTTGGCTCTGCTCACCTTGCTGCAACAAGGCAGAGGTTGCTGTAGCACATCAGCAGGATAAAACCTTGCTATCTGCCTCTCAGCATCAGCTGCACTTCACATGCACAGAGCACAGGAGATGGGTCCTGCAGAAAGGCAGCTATGCTCTCAGCCTACCAGCTGATGTTTGTGACTGTGTGAACACTGGCAGAGGTTTGGGGATAAGACAGAACTGTCTGAGCAGCTGAGCCACTTCCCCACAGTTCTGTGTGGCAGGAACCTCCTGTGCCAACGAGAAACCAAGCTTGGTTTCCTCCACTTCACTGGAAGACTTGTCTGGAAGCATGCTCTGTTCCAGAGTTTTCTGTAGTTTTACAGGAACAGGTATGTGTTTCAACTTCCCTGTAAATTCCTGGCTCCGGGTCATCTTGGTGTTTGCTGCTGTCCCTTGTGCAGAGGAATCCCTGTGCTATTGCTTGGCTCAGCTGTCTGTTTGTTCACTGAAGAGGTCATTGCTCTCGATTCAAAATGAGCACTTGCTTGTTTTGCAGCACTATCTACAAAGGCAGAATTATCATTATCTTCCCCAAGCTACAAACAGGGGATTTGTGCCTGCTTCCCCTCCTTCCAGCCTCAGGCACAGGCACACAGGCTGCTCTGTAGGGTATTTTAAGCCCTGTGTGATCAGCTAAGGTCAGGGTGTCTTACTAAAGCAGAAGGAGAAAAAAAAAAGAAAAAAGAAGGAAGAGCCTGGAAATGGTGGCACGAATATCCCCCCTGACATAATGTTTCCAAGAGTTTAGTCAGCTGAAAGAGTCCTGCAGTTACAGTTGCATTTCCCTCTGAGAATCCTTGCTTCTCTTTCTAACTGCCCACATGTTATCTCCATTAGATAACCACATCTGGCTATTTTGTACTGATTAAACGTGGGTAAGATGGACTTCTCCAGTGATCTGGAAGGTATTTATGGTATTTTTACAATATCCTGACAATGAGACAACTATGCTGTTTGCAAAGCTCAGATAGTGCAGACCCAAACTGCAGCTGAACTTTAACTACGGGAACAAATCCTGAGCCCTGCACGTCACTGCACGGGTGTGCAGGATGGCTGCAGCGTGTCCTGCCACCTGTGTGGGGACAGGCTGGCAGCTCTGGCCTCACCTGCAGGCATCAGGGCTGTAGAACTCCAGGGAGGTGGGGGACATGAACGGTGGCCACATCTCCCCTGCTGTCCCATTGATCATGTTGCACTGGCTGCTGCGCCAGTAGTTCACCTGTGGGAGAAGTGTAGAGAGAAGAACTCAGAAGGATGAGCTTGCTGGAGTCAGCTTTCACCCCTGCAAGGGATGTCCACCACCCCACAGTGCTTCCATAGCAGCATCAAAGATATTTCCTGTCTTGAGCATATTTTCCATCCTCCATGATTCTGTGAGCCAAACATCCACCCAATTAATCGACAAGAACCACCTGCCCCAGGGGCTGGTCTCTGTGTTCAGCTGATTTTATCCAGGAGCAGAATTCCACAAGGGAAGAGAGTAAAGCATCCTTTAACAAGAGTATTTAACACCTTCAGCAAAGGCCACAGGAGCCTGAGACTTCAACCATTAGAGGCAACCAGCCCCAACAGCAGTGCAAGGGAGTGCCAGTGAAACCCATGAGGAGATGAATTTAATGCAATTGTAAGATGAAAAGCATTTTGCCATGTGGCTGCCTCCTGGTAACTTGCTAGAGCAGAAATTGCAGCACTTGAAGTCCTGTGGAAACTTGTCTTCAAACCTGAGCCCCACACAACAGTACCCAGAGCTTTCAGCCTACCCTGCTTTAAATCAGGCATTCCCCATTATTCAAGGTTTGCTGCCAGACACTCACCTTCTTTAGCCCATTCCACGAATCCACCATGTGAACTTGACTGATGTTCTTCATGCCTGTGTTTACTGTGAACAGTCCTGAATTGGAGTTGTTGAACTGCAGAGAGAATAAAAGATTGTTTAATCTACTGCTCACAGCAAGGCTGCAAAACATTCCTGACTCTGGGTGCCCCATCAGCTCTGGGGGTGCCCCCCACACCATCAGCTACTCAGCTTCTCCTCAGCTGAGAGTCTGAGCTGTCCCCAGGATCAATACTGCTGGGATTTTAGCATTCCCAACCAACACTTACATCTATGAATAGTCCAAACTTCCCCTTGAAAGGCATCAGGCCAGGAACAATCATATTTATCGCGTCTATGAGGGGGTCTTCATACCCCCACATGATCTCCCCCACCGTCCGGTTCATGAACGCTTTCTGTTTCAGGCCAGCCAGGGCTCCACTCAGTAAAATCTTAAAAAACTTTGGCAGATTTTCCATCATCACAGCTGCTCCCTGAGAAAGGAAACAAACCCCTGGGATGAGAGCCCCACCTTTACTAAAGATTAAGCATTTTTGCTGCTAACCAAAATCATTCTGCTGCTGCCATCTATAGCCCCAGAGGAATCCTCTGGACAGACTAACATTCTTAATTTATTCTCAGTTGGGGAAGAAAGCAGTTGAGGGCTCACAGGCTTGATTTCCCCACAGGATGCTCAGATGAGGTTGCAGACTCAAGACCAGCTGCTCTGCACACTGTGGTTCTGGAACAGTAGCAGCCTAACAGAGCAATTAACACCCAGAAAGCAGAAAATTACATTATATAAGCTTAACCACCTCATTGCTTGATCAGCTTTAAGCCCTACAAGAAAGTGATTCAGTAATTCAGTGCTGGATATTACCACCCTCCCTGCAAGCTCAGAAGGTGGAACCCACCCAGGCAAGAAGCACTTACCATCATCAAAATGTTTGGCACAACAATGTACTCGTCTTCCGTGCCATTGGACAAGTGTGGCTGGAAGAAAAGGTTCCGGTACTCCAGGTAGGAAACGGTATCGTTGTCATTGAATGTGATATTTGTTTTATGCCTGTACTCCCTGCAAAGAGATGGGAGATGATGGGAACCATCCCTAGGCAGAGCCTAGGGGCTGCACAGGCCTGGGCTTGCTGCTGGGGGAGGCAGTGTGGGAACAGATATAAACCTCCCACCCCAACCAGGGTTAGGGTCTGGCAGGAGGAGAGGGCAGCCCAGGAGCCAGGCATCCCTGGCAGACCGGATTCCTGCAGACACAAAGTGTTTCTTCCTAACTCAGTACCCAAGAAATGTAAAACAAAAGCACAAGTCTCCTCTGTTGCTTCACCTACAGCCACTGGAGAGCCCAGTCACCTCAGAGAAGTGCTCAGGCATGCAGAGCCACAGCAACTTCCACACCTGAACAGCCTGCAAACAGGAGAGGACCAGCCAAGATGCCACATGTTCTGCCAGTGAGCCCACACTGATTTGCTCCCCAATGTCTCCTGGGTTCAGAGCAGCCTGACCCTCCACACAGCCTCGTGGCCCTCCTGCTCCTCAGGGCTTCAGGCCTTCCCCATCCTGCACACTGCCCAGTGCTGCTGGACTTCAGCCCCTGCCCCATGGGGGCTGCAGTGCTCTGCAGCCATCACAAGCCTGTTACTGCTCCTGGAGGAACTGAAGCTCAACTCACCAGTAAAAACAAAGTCCTTCACTGTGGAGCCTGTGTTTTACAGCCCACATTAGGGAAGGGCACTAATCTTGCTCAGCAGGAACACAAGGACACTAATAAGCTTTGCCCCTTTGTTTATTCTCATTTACAGTAAGTGAAGCTTTTCCCCAAGCCAGGAGAGCGATGTGATGGCAACATACAGAAACCACACAGGGGGACTTGCTGCAGGGGAAACGAGGGCACACACAAACTGCAGGCTTCCCCTGCACTCTGCTCAGCTTTGGATTAACCAGTAATCTTCCCACATGAGCTTGCTTAGGCTGCTGATTCAACCTCACCACATTACTGTAGGCACTAATATATTGAAGATCATTGCTTATGTGGAAGTTCACACACTCAACATCAATCACTGCTTTCTCTTTCAGGTGCTGAGAAGCACCTGGGGATTCAGGCATCATCCTCAGCCATGGCACACACACTGAGCCCTGCTGTGTGGGTCTGACTCACTGCTGGTGCTCCATACTTGTTCTCCATACTGGCTCCCATGACCAGAGCGCTCACTTTAGGCACATTTTGGGGCTCAGGTTAGATGAGGACTTAGGCTGACCCATGAAGTTTGATCCAGCTCAAGATCTGGGCTCTTAAATGCACAATGAAAATAAAAGAAGAACACTTTGAAGGCAGGATCACCCACCACCACCACCAATACCCATGTTTGGTATTGGTGCACATCAGCCCAGCTCTGCCTGCCCAACAGGCCCCAGAAAAAGACTGAGCTCCACTGAGTTGTCGCTGTCTCAGTGACCAGAGATCCTTTGTGTGTCTTAACAAGATCAGAGCAACTAGAGCCCATTTTGGGTCACTTCAAAATCCAGTGTCCCCGGGCTCCCACCAAGCCTGCTGATGCCATGTCCTGCTGCCAGAGGAGCCAGCCAGCAGCCTGGCAGGCAGCACAGTGAGCAGGCTCATGCCAAGCTGCACCACAGCTGGTACCTGACCTGTACACGTAGGGTCCACGCTGGCTCAGCACCGGCTTTGCTCCCTGGAGGACCTGCTGGGGGTTCAGCACTTCGAAGAAATGCACTGTCAAGTAGAAAGGAACAGGGATCTCTTTCCACATTTGGAAGGAGATGCTGCTGGGGTCGATCCTGACGTTCTGTAAGGAAAGAAAAAAAGGAGGCACAACTTTTGGGCTCTGTGGCTGCAGATGAACATATCCACCCTCAGCTCAACAAGGTGGCAGCTACAACAGAAGCTCTCCAGAGGATCCAGGTGTGTGAGGATCAGGCAGACCGAAATCCAGCTAGATCTACAGTAAAAACTCCTGTGTGTGCAGATGCATCAGGTTTATGCCACAGGATGTCTACTGGCTTATTTATTCAGGCTTAACTTTACTAATCCTACCCAGAGGGTTTCCTTGTGTTTTGATGAGACTTGGCTCTGAATTATTCACTACTCTGTTTTACTTGTCTGGCAGAAACAACCCTGTCCCAAAGGCCTTTGCTCACGGGTTTGGCAGCTCCACACAGCTAAAAGCAAGCACAGAGAAGTGGCACAGCTATCCACACAACTGTTTGAGTACCAGCAGGGAGAGCCCACTAGATTCCCCAAAAAACGATGGAGAACTGGGATGGCAACCCAGCTGTGTCCCAACAGCACAGCACACCTCTGCCTCCTCTCAGCTGCCAACCTGCATTGACTCACGGCAGATCATGAGGCAGGTCAAAGGCAAGGCACAATCATGTTCCCATATCACTGTCCTGTGTGCTGGGAAATGCCTGCAGGAGCTCCAAGACAACTTAAGCTCTCCTCAGCTCAGGACCTGGCACATGGGCACATCTGCCTCTGCTCCCTCCCTGCCTCCAGGGCGCTGCAGTAGGGGTGAGTTTGTTCCTTCTTGAACATTTACTTTGGATGTGTTCCACCATAATCGTTTCTTCTGCAAGCACAAATCGTTCTCCCTGCTTAGGTAACCCAGCCAGCTTATGGAAGTGGGATTGAACCACCAACAGGAGGAGGGATGTGGGCTTTATGCTGGTGCAGCTCAGCAGCCCCACAGTTCCTGCCCTGGAGCAGCTCACTCTGACTGGGCACATAATTGCTGACACAGGGAGTTGAGGTGCCAGAGGTTTCCCCCCACAACACCTCATCTTTCTTGAGGCATTTCACAGCAAGGCTGAGCTACCTGTGAGCAGCAGGCTTCTGCAAGCCCCTCTTCCAAGCCCTAGCCCTGGAAAGACATCCCCACAGTGCTGTGTAACCCATCTAACCTAGCAAACCCTTCCCACCACCACTTCCATGCCCACACGCTGCTCTAATGTTGCCAGCCTCAAGGATTTCATAGGACAACTTTTTATTTAGTCTATTCTACAACCCTGATTCCCAAGTGTCGATTTGACTGTGATCAAGAACATCTTGTTTCCCTTTAATTGCTTGTTCTGTACTACACTCGCTTGACCACTTGTTGCATATGCATTTATTTTTATAATAAATACCCAGTCAGATGGAGCTACATCCCAGCTCCCTCCCACATGGGCACAGCAGCTCAAGGTACTCCACAGCTGTTACTAAGATCCCCACTAAAGGGTAGGCTTAAAATTAAACTACTTTTAGGTAAAAACAAACATGGTCATACGTCTGAAATAAAAATATTTGTCAACTAGATGGGTTTCAAAAGGTCATTGAGATGTTTGACCCCTCCTGACCAGACTGATCTTTGCTCCCGAGGAACTGAAAGGAACTGGTTACTGCCCATCAGCTCCAGATGGGGCCAAAGAGCAGCAGTTCTACCACAGCATCCAGATCCTGCTTCTCCAGGAGGGAGGCACCCTGCTCAGGAAAACCGAGAGCTGAGGTTTCCCCTGCAGACTGGGAGGAGCAGTTAAGCCGGGTGTCAGTCAGACCTCACCCTCCACATCCTCTCAGCAGCCTCCTCCTCACCCTGCTACATCAGCAAGGACAGTGCTGTCACCGGCTCCCGGCTCCTGCCACCCAGGGCAGCATCGCAGGTCCCAAGTGGAGCAGCCAGGGGTGGCAGAGGGATGAGCTGATGCAGCCTCACTGTGTGCAAGCTCATACCTTTGGCAGCAAGGTCTGTGGCGTTCCAGATGCTTGCAGTAAAGCAATGTTCCCCAGGTTTTGCAGAGCCAACCCCACAGACAGCCCTGTGCAGATGGGGCAGGAGACAGGCTCCAAGCTCCCTGCTTCCCGTGTCTTTCCCTGCAGACTTCACCCAAAGACATCCTTGGAACAACCACCTCTCTGCAACTGAGCGCTTTTCCATCAGGATACACCATCCTGACAGAGCTCAGGATGGGCAAACCAGCTTTGCCTGCCCAACCCCAGCCCTTCAAGTTCCTCTTACCCACACTACCCTGAAGACCAACCCAGGAGTTTCAGTAAGGGCCTCAAGGTTTCTCATCACCCATTATCACTCAGTTATTATGCTTAATGTGAAATGGAAACATTATGAGCTCAGGGCAATTTTGTCATGCTGATGATGGGGAGACCAAGGGCTTGAGGTGAAGGGAGGAAAAACAAAGGTTTTCCTCATCTTTTGTTCTCATTGTAAATTACTAGGACTTAATTAATTAGGTTGAAAGAATCAGGATTAGCTAAAAAGAGGACAGAAATGTCATTTCCGTTCTGCAGGGGCCATTCAGCCTCTTATCTACAGGTACCAGTTCCTGATGTCCTGGAACAGAACAAAGATTTTCTACTGTTTAATCTACAGGACTGTCTGGCTCTGCCCAGACAGCAGCACTTCCAAGGGGGATGTTTAAGTAGGTCATTTTCGGCAGAGACTTTGCGCCACACGCAGCACCAGCCATTGGCTATGAGATGTTTGTTCACCTCTTTCATCAGAAGCAAATTTTCAGGGGCTGACCTGGGTAGGTGGAAGCTTGGAGAAAGGCCAAGGCTCATCTGCCTTGGACAGGGAGAAAAAGGCTTGGCTAAATGTGGGGATGAGCTCTACATTACAGCAGGATAAATGGTGTCCCAGCAGCAGGGACAGGAGTGCTGGTTCATAAAACTACACAGCATTTACTGAACAGACCAACAACTCCATCCACAGCCCCACATTCTGGGGACAAACCCTCTTCAGGACCTCTCCTGTGAATAAAAACAGGTCTTCAGAGAAGCAACTCTTCAGGCTTTCAGTCTAGGAGACAGGATAACTTGGAGGCTGCTCCCTGCACCAGGCTTCTCTGGAGTGCTCCTGCACATCATCCTGTTTCCCAACATCATGCTGTTGGGAAAGCATCTCACCGGAGCACGTGTCAGCCCGCTAGTCTGCTCTTCTATTTATGAAAGGAGCTTCGAGTAGAGGCAGGAGGGAAGGGAGGAAGCATCAGTGCTTCGGGGGATGCTCTGCCCAGCACTGCGTGCAATTCCAGTGATGCAGAGCCCTCGTTAACCAGCGGTGGTTAACCTGCTCTCTCCGGGCAAATTTACTATCGCCAAAGGCGGAACACCCCAAGGCCGCATTTCCCCAGAGTTAGGAGCCCGAGGCTGCTCGGAGCTGCAGCAGCGACTCTGCCACCTCCGGCTCTGGGCTCTGTGGACAGCACTGCATAAAGCGAACGCGCACCGGCCCCGGCCCACAGCACACCGGCACCAGCCCCGGCCCGCACCGACACCGGCACCGGCCCACAGCACACCGGCACCAGCCCCGG